AATAATAATCAAAAACATCATTGTCCCTTGCTTTTCTTATCGTTTATAACTCTTTGTTTGTTTTTCAAATCGGATTGAATCTTTTCTATTTGAACGTATAAAAATGTATCCAAGTAAAGAAAAAGTAACATGTTTTTATTGTGATTGGAATGGTCGTAAAGACAAGGCGAATGATCATTGCAAAAAACACCATCCTGGTAAAATATTCAAATGAAAGATTGTTGAAAACAACATGGAGAAATTCTTTCAAAAGCAAATAAATCGTGAAACAACAACAACAACAGCAGATGTTATTAATGATGATGTACAAGAACAAGAGGAGGAGTGTTCTACTGTTGTCTCTCCGTCGCTATCTTCATTAAGTTACCCTCATGTATCACCTCCTTCGTCAATTTCTATTCGTACAAGTCCAACAACAAATTCGGTTTCGGATCAATTAGCATTAGTGATGGAACAATTAAAAAAAATGACAAATGCAATTGATCAAATGAGTTCAGAAAAAACAAAGGTTCGATTATTATCATCATCTTCTCAATCAAATGATTTAGAACAAATGTTTCAAAATATCACATGTTCTAATGATTTATATATGCTAAAACATTTTGAAATAAATAGTCAGTTGAATACCATCACATGTATACCTTGTTTTAAATTTAAAAAACAAGCACCAAAACATCTGTTAAGTACAATTAAATCCTCATTTGGTATACTTGAGTATGTTGAACAAGATCCGCATCAGATTCAATCCCAACGATTCAGAAGTTTGAAGAGAAATTTAAAATTACATTATGAAAATAGACTTCGTATATGGTGTGTTGAAGAAGACGAAAAAGTCAAACAAGAATTACATGATTTTATTAGAAAAAATAAAAAAGCTGGGTTCAATATTGGTAGAGCAGCGTTATTTTGCATTCGAAATGGTTTGGGTGGTCTTAAATTTGTGCATACATTGAATTTATTAGATCTATGTGGTGCTTCTATTGGAACTTATAGGTAATAAAAAAGTTTATTGTAAATAAATTTATATTACTTGGTCAGCATTTTTGTACTTCTAGACATAGTCGATGGTTTTTTCAAGAACTTCGAAATTCTATGGCTACATCTATGAAACAAAGAGTTATGGAATATTTAAAATCAGTCGATCCAATTACACGACAACAACGACCAATTGGTATTACATTTGATAAAGTAACATTGTTAAAAAGGACTTTGCAAGTAACAATGCTTGTCATAATGATTGATGGACAATTAACACCTATTTATTTAAAATCATCTTTATGTAAAACCGAATTATCAGGTGAAGAATTAGCTGCTAATTGTGTTCATGTATTAGAATCTTTTGGTTTAACTAAATCTATGTTACAGGACAAATTAACTGGTGGTGCTGTCGATGGTGCCTATATTCATATGAACATAAATGAGCATTTATGTAATAATATAGGGATTCAACAGAATTGGTTAACAATTTCATGGGATGTTGCTCATTTATTGGAATTGGCAATTGGTGATACACAAAACCAAAAAAAATTTAATTGGTTACAAATGATCATTAAAACTTGTGCTGAAGTGATGAAAAAATATTCGTATGGTAAACAGTATGAATTTCTTATTGAAGCAGCAGAAGAGATACAAGAAGATATTTTACAACCTAAACAATTTCACGTAACTCGTTTCGTTAGTTCTCAGTTACGTGTTTATGAAACAATATTGAGAAACTGGAAAACTTTATACGTTTTACAAGAAAAAGATGATGTAAACATGGCATTAAGTCATGGTGATATTAGTACAAGAACGAGACAAAAACTTGATGCTCAACAAAAACCAGGCGATAAAGATGTTGATAGTGTAGCGGTAAATGAAATCGAAATATTTTTTTTTCCAAAACTACCTTTTATTTTTAGTCGAGATAAATAAAATCCTTGGATTTTGTTTGTACACTTATCGGTTTGTATGACATATATAGTATACTTGTAGAAGCATCATTATCGGTACAACAGGTAAATAAATATCCATGGGAATATGATTATTCAATTGAATATTTACAAGAACGATTAACTAAATATGGAGAATTATTGGAAACTTTGAATTTTAAATCAGCACAAGATGTTGAAAATTTAGAAAGTAATTTATTGTATTTTATCGTGAATATTACCTATAGCCAAGTATTTTATCTATTCTAGAATTTGATTTAGATAAATTAGTTTATTCAACAGCTACTGATGATTTTGATGTTGATGAAGATGAGTATGACGCAACAAAAGTACAAAAAAAACAATCAATAACTTTATTGGAACAATATTATCATGATTTATTAAAATGCGAATTTCAGCAACTTCCAATCACTAGAAGAGGTGGTGATTATGAATTAGAAGATCCAACTAAACATATACGACAAAAGCTAATCGAGTTATGCCAACATCTATCAGAATCAATTGCTAAACGATTTGAAGATATTCCAGAAATTTTTGTATTAATGAAAAACTGTTTAGATGTTGCATTTTTATATCAACAAGTAGTATTGGATAAGACACAAACAATTGTTGATTATGGCAAAAGTGAATTGCAAAAATTAATTGATTTTACTGTATCAAATTCAAAGAAACTGATAAATGCGCCTGTTATTCAAGGTCAATATTTAGAGTGGAAACAACATTGTTTAAATGAAATACAAGATAAAGATATGTTTAGTGTTTGGACAACTAACGGGAAAATATTGACATCCAAAGTGATGAAAACATTTTACACTAATACAGATTTATCGGAAGGAATAAATGATTTTCTTCATTTTTATTCATTAATGATATTAAAAATTAGAAGTGAAGCTATTTGTGAATCAGCAGCATCGATATTAAAAGGGCATATTCACAATAACCGTTCATTACAACACAAATCTTTGGATGATGAAGTATTTCTTCATTGGAATGCTCCACCGTTGCATTTAGCTGATAAATTTATTGAACAATCAATAGATGATTATTTTATAAACAAAAAGGACAAAACTTGGTTATTTTATAGGAAAAGTGAACAATATCAACCATGGAGATTATTATCTCCTGGTTCACTCGTGTTGAATCGTTTCCGAAGTGAACAAGTACCAAGACTACCAGAATTAATTGACGATTGATAAAAATCATTTTTTTTAAATAGCCTTCTTTCTAGTTGGTGCTAGCATTATTTCTGTTTTATTGTTTTTTTTACATATTTAGTTAAAGATTTGGTTGGGAAAAGATAATTCCTTCTATTTTCATAGTGGAGAAATTTTTGGAGAGTTATTATGTGTGCGGGGAAATTTTTTAATTTTACGGCAGATTCTGCACCTCTGTATACCACCCTCCATATGATTTTAAAAAGAAAAAAAAAATTAAAACGTTTACCTACATTTTTATTTACTGTATTGCTTGATGTTGAATTGTTTAAATTTGTATCGTTGAAGCCAATCTAAAATATAAAACAAAATGATTATTATTTGATCCAAAAAATTGAACGATTTGTTCGAAGGAGATCATTCATTTTTATATCCCTAAAAATCATTTTTTTTTTCGAAAAGAGAAAATTTTCCTAATTTTTGGTTTTCTCTTGAAAAAATGATTAAAAGATGATTTCAACTAAGCTTAAATCAAGCATACATATACATTGAGATAAATTCAATCGCAAACATCTCATTGTATATGTGTGGATAAAGCTTAATTTTTTTCATACATTAATTTAACATATTATCGTTGATCATCAATGATAACATGGACGATTAGTTATGGACAAGGGAGAGAAAAAAAGAAAATTGTTCTCTTTCACATGTTCAGTAGACGTACAGAATAGACGAACACACACGCACTCACATGTAGCGTATGTCGTCATTTGCTATATTGTTTTTCTTTTAATACATTTCTTTTGAATTAAATGAAATTTATTTTTTATTTTTATTTCAAGCAATTTCGTATTATGTTTTGATCGAATCCGCTTGTTGAAATCAATGGTATCTGATATCATTTGAAGATTGTCATATATATAAATGTATTAATGATGAACAACCAGTAACTTGTACATTAGTTGAAAGAAAAAGTTTATTATTTCAACATCAATGACTTTGTCTCTTGAATATATATTTTTTTCTTTTTGTATAGACATAGGTCAGTGATTTCATTCATTATCTTCGTGGATCTATTTGAAAAAAATTAACGTGATGCAAATATTAGTGAAAAATATCTTGTAAAGAGTTTTCTATTTTCTTATTAACATAAACATATATAGCAATTTGTTTATAAATTCTTTAGACATCATTTCATATAGGAAACGATGAAATTTAAATATATCGTGGTAAACCATTGTATAATCTTATTTTATTTTGTTTCTTGTGAATACTTTTAGTTTATAATAAACGATGTAAAAGTCGCTAAAATTAGTCAAAACTCGTATCACATCACAGCGATGCAATATTGGATCGACCTTAATTTTTTTTATGGAATAGCGAATTCTAGAAATTTTGGATAGGTGATCTAGACAACTATTTTACTTTCAGCTTATTATAATAAAATACAGATACAAAACAATGCTTAACACACATTTGCGACCTACTGTTCTGTTTTTGGACTCTTAATTTGCTATATCTCCTATCTATGAATTTGAACAAAATATTATCGAAAAATGAAAACTTAACAAGGTCTGTCATTTCATCAATGCAAAGATCTGTTTTAACACGCTGTCGATTAGTCATTCTTCTTATCATGTTTCTTCTACTAGAATATCAGTAGCATAAAAATTATGATTTAAAAACATCTTCGGTTTACAAAAACATTAAGTGAATAGAAAAAAAAAGTTGATATTTGCATTATGTGCAATTTTGCAAGATCTATTAAACACTGTGCTTCTTTAACGGTTCGTTGATTATGATATAATATCAATTGTTGAACAACGACACTTGTTCAAGCGTTCGACTGTTGCCAAACTTCTGTTGAGTGAAATAAAAGACTCTTCTTATGTAACATAAGCTAACTAGATCAACGACTCTTGATTCTCTGAGTTATTCACCCAATAATCCTCTTTAAAAAAAACACAAGTCGAAGTCTACTCAATTTGATTGTTGAGGAAGAAAATTCTATTTTTAAAAGACTTTTCCATTGCATACGATGACGATTAACTTATGTAGTTAAATAGATACGGAAAATAAATTTCATTCTGTTTCTTATTGATTACAAAAAAACAAAAGAAATATTCTGTACATTCAGCCAACATTGTTTTTTTTCTTTGCTGTGTTCTTTCACTCGACCGTTCGACACACAGTTATTGTGATAGATCAAATTGACCCATGTCTTCTCTCGTTATTTTTCTACCGTCCAATATGTTGAAATAAGTGGTGGGATATATATACTGAAGAATAAACGTACATACATTGACACAATAAAATATTCTCCTTCTTATTCAATACATACATTGTTTATTAGTTTCGTACGTAAATTCAATGGCTCTTGGTACATCTGAACGTTTAAACATGTTTGAACGTATTAAATCTACATGTACACAAAAAGAAAAACTTCAAGTAAGTTTTTATATTTCCAAACGTAAAAAACACACTGTTTATTTTCTTTCTAGATTCTAAACAAAGCTATTACAGATGAATCATCATTAAATGAAGAAATAAATTTTCGTGCTTATCGTGTCAATCTTTTGTGTGACATTGGTGATTGGGAGAGTAAGTTGGTTCGCTTGTACTACTAAATATATTTAATTTTGTTTTTCTCAGAGGCATTACTCGACTTGAAATTCATCGAGAACATTGATATGATGACGGATTTATTATATTTTACAAAATGGTAAGACATTTCATTTTGTTTCTATATTTGTATATGATAAATTTCTTCATTCATAGGAAATGTATGATTCAGTGTAACATGGCTGAAATTCGACAAGACATAGCAAATAAACGTTACGATAAATGTAAGTTGCTTTTCTTTTCATCGATATATATATAGTAAAACATTTTTTTGAGCAATTAATTCTGATCGACATATAGCGTTGTTGGGTCGAATTAGTGAAGAAAAAATTAATCAATTAGTTAATGGTACGCTAAAAATTTTACTAAAGTTTGACAAATCATTAAATTATTTTTTAGAAAATGAAGTACTATGTTCTCAAAGTCAAAAACGAAGAAGTAAATAGTAATTGGAAATTTCTCATTTTGGTTTTCATTGTTATTTTTGTATATTATTACATTTTATAATGCATGTATGCTTTTTTGTGTTCTAATAAATAAACGAAATATTTTGTTAATGATTGATTATATTTGAAAATTAACTTTGGCCGTGAAGAGTCAAATTGAATGATAACTAATTCCATGGTAGTCATTTATATTTCTCACACGATGATTGATTGGAATTCTCTTCATGATTTTTTAGGAATATTCAATGAGGGTGTGGGTGTGGGTATGGACGCGGATGTGGATGTGCCCTTTACTTAAACCAAAATCTCACACCTACACCCACACGCACGCCCCACACACCCACCCACATCCACACCTACTTTACCTTATCAGGTAAAGTAAAGTGAATATACTTTACTTTTTCAAAGTAAAATAAAGACAATGTGCCACTCGTAGTCCGGACGAAAATAAAACGTGAATAACTCTTCAACTATTTCTATGAATTTTTCATCATCTCATAGAAATTCGTCGAAGAGTTATTCACGTTTTATTTTCACTCGGACTTTTGGAAGACCTATATCACCTATATGCTGACAACAGTACTAATACATCAATACTCCTTGTTGTCTAACTAAAATTAGCTCGAGACTTTTTAAACATCCTATGCACATGATGACACAAGTGCAGCTGCCATTGACCAACCAGACCTTATCTAAACGTGCGCAACTCAGGATGATAATAGTATGGTTAGAATTCTTTTTCTTCTTCGCCTGTCTAAACGTTATCAGCATCTCATTTTACATGTTCTCCTCTATTATATAGTGTGCATATGTGCTTTTCTTCATTTTTTGTCTGAAGCCAAAATGTTCTTTTTTTTTCCTGTGCAACCTTGGGCAAGCCAAGTATTGATATGGCTTGATGTTGTAATTACCACAAGGACTCCTGTCGCAAACATTTCAATGAATATTGTGATACAATGACGGAAAAACTTAGTGAAGTATTTAGTTGCTCTACGCGACGTACATCAAAATGATATCACTGACCAGCAACATTTTAGTCGTTTTCTTGAACACATCGATGAGTTGAAAGAACAAGCGATAGTACAAGTATATGCAACAGCATTTGGATGCATGCTTTCATTGGACGATAATCTTTGTAAAGATTGGAAAATGAAGCATTTCGTTAGATCAGAGATAGCAAGATCTTCGAGTGATACAAGTCTGTCTCGACTTAGGACGTAAGAAGAAGAAGAAGAAGCGGACCTTGAAATAATTAAGAGCATGCATAATAAAAGGACAACATAATTCTTAGTGTCCTGAAAAATGAGGCTTCATTACGTTATTAAATCTCTAAATGAAAGTAACTTCATAATATATTAGATGGGCCATAAATAATGGCACATTTCCTATAGGACAATATTTCTCTTCATAAAAACTTAATTTCAATGAAAATGTTTGTCGTAGACTCCTTTGCGCTAGAAGACCCTTCAGAAGGATCATTTCATAGCAATTTGGTGTTGTTTCATTGAATCCGAAAGGACTTCGACAACCTCATATGATTCTAATAAAATAGGGATAGTCAAATTATCGTTTCTTTACGAGTAACGAGAGCACTATTCGTTCCTTGTGTGGTAGAAACTCAGAGTGTTACTGTATTTTCTGACACAAGTTTATTTACATAGGCTGAATAGAAGCGTTTTGACACTGATAGTGTTGAATATTGTTATTAGTTATTGCTATTCGATCAGCTCTCATGAGAAAACTCAGAAGGAGCTTCTGTCAACAGTTGGCTGCAGTTAAATGAACTCAACGTTACATAAATTCGAAACTCTTATATATTGTAGAGAACTGCTGTAACTATTTTGAGAATTGCGAGTTTGTCCAATTAAGAGCTCAGCGATATCAATAACTCGATTTGCAATATCCACCACAATCAATTCCAACACTATCGATATCGCAACATGCCCAATTCATGCGTGATCGTATATGTGATATGATTTAATGTTTTCAATATAAAATTACAATGTATATCGGTTCACCAACACTTGTCATCGACATTTGCGCGCATGACACTTGAGGGTGTGGACGTAAGTGTGTGACAGCTCCAACTCTACAGATCGCGAAAGCTGGGTCGAACAGCTGAAACTCTTCACTAGCCAGCTTCCGTGAGCTGAAGCTATGTACCAGTCAACCTACCACGACCTGAAGAGGTGTCATTAACAACTAGAAGCATGGTTATAGCATCCTCAAGAATGCTTTTTGTTGTTGGTGACACCTCTTCAGCTCATGGTAGGTAAGCTGGCGCACAGCTTCAGCTCTCGAGAACTAGAGTCAATGAACAACTTCAGGTTTTCGATCCACTTCTCGCGATCTGTAGAGCCAGGACTGTCACACACCTACATTCAGACCCATACCCTCAAGCGTCGCGCGCGTAAGTGTCTTACGCACAATTATCGTGTCACGCGTATATCGGTATTAGCAGAAGAAATTTGTCTTCTGCGCATGCAATACTTTTAGATGTATCTCAGCTGGATTGATTACGGAGTTTTAGTTCTATTGTTAGGTAAGCCTCAAAATAGACATTTGTTCTCAATGCGAATAACTGTTTATCTAACAATTCAAGGCTCATCGACTGGCATAGGTATCTATCAAGGTTGCATTCGTTCACAACAATTGTCGGCGAAAGAATTTCTCATTGCCGATGGTCGAATGGGAGTACGACAATTTTACTGAAATATACCTACATATACGAAATGTCTATCTTTCTCTCGTACAGATATTACCAACAGCAATGAGCTTATTGGCGAGTTTACGATCTGCGATAAGTTTACTTGGAATTCCTGTGGAGTACTATCAATATGGAACCATGAGATTTTATGATAGTAAGTAGTGAAATATTTGTCTACATGCGATTGCATGTGTCTGTGTTACACTCAATATTATCCTTTTGTGAAACACTATTGGAAATGAGTACCGTGACAGAGAGAGACTTTAGTGTTACAGATATATTGGAATACATTGATCTATTTGACCTTCCAGTATAATATGATCGTTTGTAGAAGCCTTGTTTACGGGTGACACAGATCGATCATGTTTCACTTTCGAATCCCGTTAGAATAACGCTAAAAGTTTTATTTCTTTTTAAGTATTTGCTTTGCTGATAGCAACTTATATAACGAAGAAATTATTTATACCGAAATTTTATCAGATTGGAAGTGTCAGTATTTATGCTGTATGTATATGAACTAATTTTCAAAATTTTCGAATAATTCTTCATGAATAATAGTATCTCGAGCGACGTTTCTCATTATCAGTTCGTATCATGGTGGCATGTACTTTTATTTTTAGTACTGTAAGTAGAATAAAAACGATTTCACATTCGAACATAGGTAGATCGTGCACCTAGATCCTATATATGAGTATTGTTCTGTATGGACCGAGCTCGGCATTGAGTCAAGTGACTGGGTTAAACATTTGGCTCGCTGTTGCATCATGCGGACTTGTTTGTACAATTTATACGAGTATTGTAAGTTCATGTGAGCTGTCGGATGAACGAATCTTGGAATTCTTTTGAGCATTCAATATTTCGTTTTCAAATAAATGATAGGGTGGAATGAAAGCGGTAATTTGGACTGATGTTATACAAAGTATTATGATGTTTCTTGGCATTATTATGTCGATTATTTTTGGTACGTATCAATAATTTCGTCGCTTGATATAGGAATTTTCATTGTTCAAAACTGTTAAAGGTTTTATCGATGCTGGCGGAATAACAAAAGTGGTTGAAACGGTGTCGAGCGGAAATCGATTTCAATTTTGGGTGTACGTATGTAAACGAGTGCAACAGAATGAAAGATCTTTTTTTTCATCGAAAAATATAACGATAGCTAAAAATATTGTTCCTCCCTCGGGATCTTGACTATGAATAGGCCTGGTGTAATCGAAGTTATGATAGAGGAACACATTTTAGTTGGGAATCAGCCTTCTCGTACAAACTAACATCGCATTGAAAGTCGAGCAACTCACCATTATTTCGTATTGCAATTCATACCGATCAGAGATGTCCATCGCGCCGCCGCCGCGCCGCTGCCGCTGCCGCGCGGCAGCGGCAGGTTTTTTTTATAGATTAGCGCGGCGCGGCAGCGGCTTTTCATTTTTTTAGCCACCGCGGCAGCAACGCGGCACGATTTTTTTGCACAAAATTTACTCTATAACTCTAAAAAATTTCCAGCTTCACAGCTGAAATTAAACTAGTCTTTCACATAAAGTAGACAAATCAAATTCTTTTTCTAAATGTTGCATTTTACGGTGATTTTAAAGTGCAGAGACAAATAAACGCTTTAAGCTTATCTAAGTTAATTACGTTGGTACGAGAAATATACTGATTACAATATGAAAGTGTTTATTGTATTGCCTTACGTCTAATAGATATTTTTAATATCATTTTCAGTTCATGCTTTCATTGCTAAAATCTTTTTCCATTCTTTTTCTGTATTAAAAATGGCAATCATGATAAATAGTCGTAATTAATCTGTTTGTTTTAATGCTACTTTTTTATTTTTTTGCAGATTTAGACCTATCAAACTATCGCAAACTGAAAATGAACAACAAGAGTTTATTAATATCGTGCATATTAATGCATTTTATAATTAATTTTCTTCATTAAATTAGAATATAGAAAGGCGCATGACATGATTCTTTGTAGGTTTTAAATCAATCATTTTCATGTCATACATTTATATGATTATACATATCGTAAATATTTAGATTATTTGCTTAAATGCTAGTAAAATATACTTGTTCTATATATACTTAGAAGTTATTTGTTACTATAGCATCTAAACCGTTATTCCTCATTGATTTCGAGT